CATTGTGGCAACCAAAACTGAATGCAGTATTCCAAGTGTGGCCTTACCAAGGCATTATAAAGTGGTATTAACACTTTATAATCGTGATCTCGATTGTATCCCTCTGTTTATGCTGACTTTTTTGGCAGCTGCTGCACACTGCTGGCTCATATTTATAGGATTCCAAGATCCCTCTCACAATTACTACTATTAATCATCAGGAGTTCACTTAAGGAACACTGCAAAAAAGGTCATAAAATTGGGTTGATCACATGGGTGACCTGTTTTGTGACCATCATGATTTATAACCATAGTGAGCAGCCTCCATTATGGGGGTAGGTTAAGGATTGCCTGTGTATAAATATTTTCCAGTAGAATATATAAAAATAGATCCATCTACTAATACCTTCTTTTTTACTGAAAAAAAATATGCAAATGTAAATGCATTTTAGCAGGGTTGCCAACAGAGGGGGGGGGTGTCAAAGAGTAAAGAGGACAAACACAGCCATGCAATGGAAATGCAGCTGATTTACATCTGTTGTAACACCCATAAAAAAGTAATAGGGTTTTATTCGCCCAGCTGTGGTCACTATTTTGAAATCTTTGACTCTTCCGCAGAAACTTCTGCATCTTAGAAACATAAATACAGTTGCATCTTAGCAGGATGTTAAAAAGAAATATCTACAAGATATAGAAATTATGCCACCATTTTCAATTTAATAAAATCATTAAGCTATTTTTAAGAGAAATTGCCTTTCTAATATTCCCATTGAAATGCCTTATTGCAGGACAAAAATCAGTGTGAATACCAAAGGTGATCATTTATGCTTTAACTTATAATTCCTCTGCTAATTTGAAATTATTGCACCCTCTTAAATATATCCCTGCTGGCTGGCAAGTTATAACCATAATTAATCATACAATAGTTAAACCTTATGGCTCCAGTTGCTTCTGACTTCAACAGCAGTAGATACACCTATCTACTGTACATATGGAACAAAATGCTGTTGAGTTTGGAGAACTGACCTAAATTCCCTCTCAGAAAAAGAAAAGTTTTTAGTTTGCTCAATTCTGAGTATTTTCTGTTGCTTTTTCTAGTACTATACAAACAAAACACTAAAAATGAAACATTGTATTCAATATTTATTGTATCCATTGATACAACATTATTCCCAGGGTCATCCATAACTTATTCATAACTTCCAAAGATATGAAAAAAAAATGTGGCGCTATTTGTATGAAACGTACTGTTAAAGATTTTTTTTTTAAATCGAGATCCTCAAGAAGCTAACAGAATCATGAGGGGCGAAAAAATGTCACCATTTACCTCCCAATTTAATCCAAACATGTTCAGGTACAGCTTTATTTCTGGCACCAACTGTTTGTTTGCTAGTTTCAATTTCTTGCTGGTAACATACAGAAAAAGCTCGAGGCAATGCAAGGTCTTGATGTTTGACTGTTTCTACAACACTGGCTCCAGAGCTCTACATGGAAGAGAGAGAGGAAAAAACACCCTACATTTGTAAATATTGTAAATTTAGTTTGAAAGCAAGAAAATAGATTGGATAGGATACAAAGCAAAAGGGAAGACTTGGTGTTGTTTTGTGTTAGTTTTCTCAAATCTTTCCCACTTGGTTTCGCTGTTCTTTGGACCGAGGCCAAATTTGTTGCTTCCATCAAACAACATCCAATAAGTGACAGAAACCTATATCGTTCAAAACTCAAGTTTGTAAATCCCTATGACAGGTTGTCCTCAACTTACAAGAGTTCATTAAGTGACCGTTCAAAGTTACAATGGAATTGAAAAAAGTGACTGATGACTGATTTTCATAGTTATGACCTTTGAAGCACTCCCATGCTCATATCATCAAAGTTCAGATGCTGAGCAACTGGTTCATATTTATGACCGTTGCTGTGTCCTGAGGTCATGTGATCCTCTTTTGCGAGCAAACAATAGGGAAGCCAGATTTACTTAACAACCAGGTTACTAACTTACCAACTGCAACGATTCGCTTAACAGCTATGGCAAGAAAGGTGGTAAAAATGGGCAAAATTCACTTGACAAACTTCTCACAGAAATTTAGGGCTCAGCTATGGTCGTAAGTCGAGGATGACCTGCACTGTCTTCCAGAGACCTGAATAATGTAAAGCGTCAACTGAAATGTCAAAGGAAGAATAAAAGAACAAACCTGCGCTTGTGCAGCATTGGTGTTTCCAGTTGCAGGAGAAGCCGTGTTTGGTGTAAAGACCGGGCATGTGAATTGCAATGCAGTGGTGGCAGTAGCAGCGGTCCTATTTTTCACTAAAGCAGTACATTTATTCTGCTGCTGGTGGAGAGGAACACCCATCGCTTCTGAAGGATGGCGAATGAGGGTTACTAAACTATGAATGAGATCAAGAAAAGAATAGAGCTTGTTTGAAATGAATCCTTATTTTTTTACATTCATAGTTCATTTCAGAATATTAGTTTAATATACACCAACCATATATCCAGACTAGGTATTTAACAGATAACTTTTTTTTTAATCCAAAGAAACATGCTTGCTTTTTAAACTTTTTGAAATAGTAACGAACTGCAGTAATCATTTATTTTTTATAAATATCTGCCTTCATGATACTGTAGAGTGGTAAGATTTCCTATATAGAAATAGCACTTAGACTTATATACCGCTTTAGAGGGCTTTACAGCCTTCCCTAAGGGGTTTAGAATCAGCCTATGGCCCCCAACAATTTGGGCCCTCATTTTACCCACCTCGGAAGGATGGAAGGCTGAGTCAACCTTGAACCTAGTGAGATTCGAACTGCCAAATTGCAGGCAGTTGGCAGGCAGCAGCAGGAGCCTGCAGTACTCCACTCTAACCACTGCAATACCGTGGTTCATAGTTCCAAGCTAGTTTCTAAGTGTTCCCACTTTTTCAGATTTTCTGAATTCCCACCACCACTTCTTGTCACTACATGTTATGAGAACTTCATGTAACTATTATGATGTATAGAGTCTGAGTTTAAAAAAAAAGTCTGATGCCTGTGTCATTTATTTCACACAGTCATTCAATGTGACTGTATGAGAAGGATATTTCCCCAACTTGTTCAATCAATTCAGTTGAACGGAGAACTAGAAACAAGCTATCTTTGTCGTCACATTTTGGGGAGACAAAGAGTAGCTTTTTAATGAATTTTTTAATTTTCTTTACACTGTTGGCATCCTTCCCAAATTACTAGGCTCCAAGTGGTGAATAATAAGCAAACCCAGAAAAAAAAATTCTGGAATATGATAGCAATAGTTTATACTACACTTGAAATGCACTACGATAGGTTTATCTCAAACAAAATGCATCTTTAGTATTTTACAATGAATAAAAAGAGTAACTTTTATAAGAATCACAAATAAAGCCAGTTTAGAACCTGAACAAAGTCTATACTATAATCTTGTGAGGAAAATCTGGTAGTGAAATTATTCATTGGCAATTTACAGTATGTCTAATTATTTATAGGACTATTGATTTCCGCATATATGGACTAGAAGCCAATGATCTTCTGACAAATTTTGAGTATCAGTCTAAACTTTCAGTATAAACTCTTTAGAAAGCACATATGCTTGGAAATCAGAAGTCAGTCACTATATCTTGAGTTGACCTTGACACATCCAAGCTGTTGTCTTGATAACATGGAAGTCATTTCCTATTCTTTTTTCCAGCATGTAGTTTTAACCCTCAATCTAACCTGAATCTTGGGATTTCTTTTGGGGTGGTGGATCCAAGTACAAACTAGTCTAAATCTGCTTGGTTTTCTGGTCAGACAAAATTGGCATAGAAAATCTTTTTAGTGCAGGCAGGCATCTGTAGGGAGGAGGCAAACCACAATACGGTTGTCATGACATCATCACACAAGTGATGCAAATTCTGTACTTGCATCATTCATGCATTTACATAATGACATAATTTGCAGTGTGACATTACATCTTGTATGTCATCGTTTTGACATCTGGTTGTGTTAAGAGATGCCTCTAAGTGCAGGGAATTAGAGATTTATAAAGAGCACTCAAAGCTCCTCTCTCTTAGGCGTGATTCAATTAAAAGATTGCATTATTCTAAAAACCAGAGCACATAACTAATATGCGTAAGGATTCATGTGGAAGTTTAAAATCAACCTTAATTAAATATAACTATCTTACTTTTAAAACCAAGGAAGCTGAAAATTGGAATGAGTGTTCCTTGCTGTATGTGTATACCAGATGGTAAATAGTTATAATTAACTTGAATATAGTACTGATAATAATTTCTTTCTGGGAAAAAAATAATATACAATTAACATATAGTAAATATGTGTCCAAAGTTCAGCAGTTCCCTGGTTTTATTGATGAATCAATATTACCAGCAAATTGAATATGTTAAAAGAAAATAAAAATGAAACACACTTGTTAAGAGCTACTCCAGTTTCTTGAGTTTCTTGGCACCTGGGAATTTCAGTCTGGAGACTGTTGAATCTGTCTTCTAACCGAACACGGACTGCAGATTTGGTTCTGGATTCAGGAACTGCTGCTAAAGTTTCTGCAACTACATTTTCTTTATTTATGCTGCCCGAGGTTTCACTATATTTTAATTTTACTAAATTTTGCCCGTTGATATCTATGGAGTTCCCATTTGGTGCTTTTTCAGCTTGGCCTGGTGGTAGGCTAGATTCACTAAGCAACATCATCCTTAGCTCTTGAAAATCAATGTGCCCTAGACATTGATTAGGCCCTGTGAAACTGCTGTCAGAAGTCAAGCCAGACTGGCAGATAATGGGGTAGAGAGACTGGTTTCCAGAGCTGTTTGATGAGAAGCCACCTTGACTGCTAGTAGATGACGACAAGTAATGGGACTGATTTGCAGAATTGTTGGTTGAGAAGCAATTCAAGTTTAACCTACTTTCCACTTCATTTTCATTTGACTGGGCCTCCATATGGGAATAGAGTATATGCTGAAGCTGTGTGTATTCTATTTCTGTCATCTCCACCAGGCTGAGGTCGGTTGTGGTGAAGCTGAGATTGTGTTCACCAAAAGAGGAATCGGTGGGGCCTTCAACAACAGGACCAGAAGAAGCTTGATCTGGAACTACAGCCCGAGGTCCGGAGGCTTCAGACGCCTTGAGGGTTGTGTCTGACATGATTCTGAAGAATACCAATGCCACCACGTTTGGGGACCAATGAATATCCAAAACCAAGAACACCCACCGGCTCGGTGAGCCAAAAGCTATGCAACGGTGGCAATCAGGGGCAAGCACTACGAAAGGAAGTCGATTGGTGTACCCCACAAAATAAACACTTTTCGGATCCTTCTTTGAAGAGCTGACCCTTCCCAACACAGCACAAACATGCCCAGCTAGGGAAAGCTAGTGGGAACAGCTGTACTATCCAAACCCAACTGGTGCCATCCACACCGTTGGCACGTTCTTTGAAAACCTTTGAAATGAAAGATGCCCCCCAACCCCAAATGGCCGCCCAAACAGGAAGGTCTGGTGGTAAGGCAGGCAGAGGAAGGGGTCCTCTTAAAACTGGGAAAAGCAGAGAAAACGTCTAGCCGAGCAATGGAGGGATGGGGGTAGAGAAGCACTTAAGTCCCCCCCAAAAAAAGGATTGCACACGTGCGTGCACACACACCCTTTGAAAAAGCCCTATGCAGATTATGGGTCAGTGCTGCTTTTTAAATGTTGTAAGAGGGGAACGAGACTGGAGGGTCGTCAGCCCCTCATTCTTGGGAGTCCAACCGCTTTCCCCCACATCTCGAGGGGAAGTGTAGGGCAGCAGGATACGAACTCAGGGCCCTCCAATTGCCCCCTTCGAGGAGGGCCACTTCAAGGGACAACCTGGCCAAGCAGCTTCGGCCGCTCAGGACAGGTAAGTCCCCGCCGTCGCCATAGCAACCCACCAACGGGAGGCCGGCCGGGCAGGAAGGCCACGCCCACCCTCCACCTTGGCCTGGGCGACCGCCGCTCAAACGGCCCCCCGAGGCCTGCGGCGCGCGCCGAAGGACACGCCCCCTCCGCTTCCTTCCCCCGCCCCTCTCCCTCTGGCCGCAGCCTAACGGACAAAACCGCAACAAACGCCCAGAACGCCGGAAGCGGAGGGAGGGGGATGCGCATGCGCCCGATGTTTTTTTTTTAAAACCTAAGCTCCGCCCATTATCTGTCTCGGCTTTCCTGAGGGAAGCGAAAGTAAGTGGGGATGTCGCTTCGTTCTCTCCGGCCTCCTTTTGCTTCCCCTCAGCGGACAGCTGCGGTTTCTTACCTGTCGTTCAGGGGTTTCTCCTCCTCCCTCCTCGTAGGAAGCTGTCTTGTCCAACAAAAGCATTTGGGGGCTTTCCTCAGCTTTCTCCTCCCCCCTCCCCCTCCCCCAAGGCTTTTCTGGCAGAAGGGAAAGAGTGAAAGGCGGGAAAAGGGCCTAACTCCCACCTAGGCCAGGCTGCTCCTACTGCGGCTGCTTTTCCTACGAAGTAGAACAAATCTGACGAGGTGTTTTCTTCAGGCTCGTTTTGTTTGCTTTTGGATGGCCTCTTCTGGAGCCCCCACTCCTTCCCCCCCCCCCGTTCCCAAATCATCCTTTTTGCACGTTGGCCAGCCAATCTTGCTCAGATTCAGATTCTCATTTTAAGAAGAAACTTGGAAACCTGTTTTTTTTTAAAAAAAAAAAAAAACTCGCCAATCAGCACTTGTATGTGAATTAAGAGTGCTGTCTTATGGATTCATTTTGCAGTTCCGGAATGTAAAAACCAATATGATTCAGATGTCTTGAGTTTGCTAATAAGGGTTGGTGAAGGCAAAATGCCTTTACAAAAAAGTGTCACCTCTGTGATAGCGCTGAGCAGGAGTGAAATTCAGCAGG